GATATAAATTATATGAAGATACCATTGCGAGAATGTGAGAGGAAGAAGGTGAAAACAGACGATGAAGTCAGATGATCCCTGTTGCGATTTCAGAATGAGACCTTCCACCATTTTGATCATATCTCGTTATTAGATGATTCAAATCCAATTCCGCAAGTTGTGGTGGATAGAGGACTTCATTATCTACAACTTTCATGAAGTAAGCATTTCCAAATTGGGAAGTTAAGTAGACACGGTCGTGCCTGGCAGTTAGGCACGCCATGCCTGGACGCGTTTAAACGGAATGCTTCCGTAGGCACGATCGCAGACACGGTCGTGCCTGGCGCCGTTCCTGGCACCGTGCCTGACCTCGTTTTGTCCTAATTCAGCCCAAATTGCCTTGTTTCCTATAAATAACACCCCCATAATAACCCTAATAAAGGGGGATAAACTATAGAGAGCTGATTAAGGACGAATTTTGAGAGCTTTTCAAGCCTTGTTTTTCAATTCTTTGAGATTCTTTGTAAGTTCCTACTTTTTGATTAATGACAATTAATTCTATTCTTCCCAATTCCGTTGATTCTTCAATTATGAATTGCGAGTAGTTTTAATTAGGAATTTGGGGTTGATGAAGGGGTTTATCATGATGTATGGCTAGTTTCTTGATGGTTTGATTACATGAATGTCATTTAATTTGTGTTTGAATAATTTAACTGTTATCTTTTGTAATCTGGAACCGCGGCTAGAATTAAAATTGCACATAGAATAAATTAAGAGAGATCTACTTTATTCTAGGACACATTCACACATACTTAATCGTTCGCTAAGAGATTAGTAGCGATTAAGGGCCGTAAGCTCATTCGTCTTGGCAATAATTTAGGATCATGTCGCATGAGAGATCAGCCTAGTCCCCTAATTATTGTACTCTACGCCGCGAGAGCGGTAAGAACTTAGTATTGATTAGCTAGGCTCAATTAAATTAAATTCATGTAATTATGCCTGATCTGCCAGAAATCTGATTACCCCGGAATCAATCCTTGCTCCCTTCGTCGTTAATTAAGAAGAACCAAAATCTTTACTTTTATTCGCTCATTCGTATTAGTTTAATTTCAATTCAACCAATCAATCTCGCACGACGCATTTATTTAATTTTATTTCTTTTTAATCGCTGAATTTAATTAATCTTTAATTCCCTTTTGTCTGTCCCCGTGGAGACGATACTCGTACTTTCACCACTATTTTACAATATTTTTAAGTGCGAGAAAACTCACATCACGCTCCTTCTCCTCCTCCTCTTCAGCAGTCTGCATCGCGAGGGCAAGCTGCTCATCTTCCACTACTTGCTCGAACTCTTCGGCATCGAATTCGGCCACCAAATCCTTCTGCACATCCATGGCAACAACAGAATCCTCGTTGGAAGAAGCCCCCTTGCTTGCTGACATCTCCTCCGACCAGGTCTCCGACTGGGCTGAGGGTTCTCGAGATATATCTTGGGAGTCACTGGATGACGACATATTTCGATAGTCTGACGGGTCACAGGCAATGGAGACCCTAAGGCTACTAACACTAGATCTAAGGCCACGAAACAAAACTTACTAAGGAAGCGAAGAACAGAGGATGAACTGACCTTGAAAGTGAGGTTTTGATCGAGCAAGAGCTTTCTCTCTCTAGAAAATTTGACAGAGCTTCGCTACAACAAATCGCACAAGAGAAATGGGCCAAACTTTGGGGTATTTATAGCCTCCCCATCTCGGGTTTGGGCTGAAATCTGGGCCCCCGGTTGAAAACCCATCATTACAAACTGCCGCCTCAGCCAACCAGTGACACCCGCCCGAAGCCGACCAACCAAGGGATGCCACGTGTACCCCACCTCCAACGGTCATATTCAAACGGTCATATCCCAACGGCCCTTCTTTAAAGCCTGAGGTGCCCTCAGCTGGCAGCCCTCAGACAACAACTGTGAACGCCTTCGGGTCCTCAATAAAGATGGGGAACCCCTCGGGAACCTTTAGACCTCAATATATTGAGAATTAGGGAACCCCTCGGGAACCCTTAGCCCTAAATATATTGAGAATCAGGGGACCCCTCGGTAACCCAGGAACTATCGCTTGCATTCATCACGCCCTCGACCCTGAATGACTGGGGGACTCCCCTCGGCATCCCCCGGAATTTCCACAGCGGCCTTCAGCCAGTCAACAAGAGAGCCCTCAGATCACGGACATCTCTCGGCTTCAACAAAATACTCAGACCAAGGGTCCACCTTTTCGATTCATCCTTGGGGGAACCCGGTGCACTTTTTTTCCCTCGTTAGGATTTTTTTCCACAGGGTTTTTCCTAATGAGGTTTTTAACGAGACATCCCCCCAAAATGAAACGAAAAGAGTCAGCCCTCGGCCCTATGCTGGAAATAGGCACAACTCTACTCCTTTTCACCACGTTACACGTGCCTCAAGGAGTGGGGACTGGAGAACCCCTTCGAGAAAATCGCAAAATGTTAAAAGCATTATCAACATGATCCTTCAGTCCCAAAATGTGGGGACTGAGGGACTGCCCTCGGCAAAACACGCAACACAAGCCTCTCACTACTTTACAAACTACAAAACAAACGCCAGCACCAGAGGACAAACACAAACTACTCTTTTTCCTTCAAGTACCTTTCGGCAAAAGGAGTGAGGGGGCCCTGATGGAGTATATGGACCAGGGACCCCCGGCCCACAGACTCCTATTACTCTAACACAGGACCAGTAGGCCCAAGAAGCACAGGGGGCCCAAAGAACATCAGCTCAAATATCAAGAAGTCCGCGGTGCACATACGGGTGCCTTCGGCCCCATGGTCGAAGGCCCCCCAAAACTCACAAGACATCTAATTTTACGCATACAAACCTACTGGGAGAAAACATCGGAAGTCAGGAGCCTTCGGCTCATGCATGCCTTCGGCACTTGGGTAGCTTTCGGCTCCACAGAGCCCCCGGCCACAGGAGAGCCTTCGGCTACAACACAAACATCGAAGATTCCATTTGGAGACAAGCAACAACCGCATTTAATGCGGTGTCACATCCGCCCACCGCATTTAATGCGGTGCACATGCGTATGCCGGTGCCATCCCGGTTGAGGTGACCCCTCGACCATTAGATTATTGACATGTGTACTCCCATCGCATTTATTACTGCTATAAATAGCAGCCCATTCTCCATTGTAAAGTATAACAACATTCCACATTCGAATACACTTTCTCTCTCTTACTTATTGCCCTGACTTCTCTCTGGGTTATTCCCGCAATAACCTCTCAGATAAGCTATCCCCGGGTACACTATCTATCACTCAACTACACATGAAATTGAAATACACCTTCGAGAAATCTGAAAATAATAATTTCAATTATTATCAGCTTTTCATGATCTTACATAACTTGTGATTTAACTAGACTACAAGGTCTTTGTTTCAATAATGGCATTGCGTGACAAGCTATCCAATGTGGTCATTCAAAGAGGACATCAAAAGTATGAGCAAATTCCTTTTATTAGTCTTAACCAAATAAAATAGCAAATAGACCATTAAAACAAAAACATTTTTTTAATCTAATCACTAAATCTTAAAAATATACTCCATTCAACTCACTAACATTGCGACAGGAGGATATGGTGCGGATATTAAAAAATGGCTTTGCGTGGTTGACACTGAATTGATAAATTAAAAATAAATAAGAATGATTTAGAACCACACAAGTTTTACTAAATTTAGTCTGAGACAATCTTAGTGGAATATACCGGAAAAAAGACGAGGACAATCTTAGTGAGATGGATGGAGTATATCCTTGACATCTTTTTTGTTTTTCAATGAGAACAATTAACTATTATTAATAATGTTCCAAAACACTGAAAACCTTACCACAACACAAAACTTCTATCCTCCTAATTTCCACATAATCAAATGTTCCCCTCACTTCGAGACCAAACGTAAAAGAGTCCACTCTAAAAAGACCAACACTATTTGCTGGACATGCGAGAGATTTGAAGTAACGGTCAGCCCTAAAATCCAAAATACTTCCTCCACATCATCAAATTATTCAATGTTCTCAAAACTCACCCAAAAGACACATGTATTATTCGAATAAAAAGGTATGATAGAGCAAACAATAAACCTTTGAGGAAAAAATAGAACACAAAAATGCAGGTGGCCAATCCAACCTTGAAGTGTAGATCAAGGTTTGCATCTCACCTGCTGCGTCGCCATTCAAGCCTTCCGCTATTTTCTTGTCCCAAAGCAGCAACCGCACCGCACCATCAAGCCTTCCATCAGACACGCCACTAATCATCAAGCTTCTAGTCCGAAATGGCTAGGTAACCTTAGCACATACTTGCTTATATAGGTTTTATTGTGTTCCGTGCTATCAACCGTCTTGTTGTCCCACGGAAGCAACCACATCGCTCCAATAATCTTTCGCCGGACTCCCCGCCGGTCACTGAAACCCGTACACCAAATCGCTAGGCACCGCCGCTCAACATCTTTTTTGTTAAAAATAGCTCACACCTATGGGTCATATATCTTGCATCATAAGCATTGCACTCTGGATCATATTACGCTTCTTATGTATCTTCTGACTGATTTTCTTACAATATTGATATAATCATTGCATATTCATCTTACTCATGAGTTCTGAACGCTCTCTTACAATTTTGATAATTTTTATTAAGTTCAATGTATAGTTTCATTTATAATGGTTTTAATTTTAATGGTTTTGGGGCCATATTTTCCACACACCACATTAATCGCAAGTAGAATATACTATTAACAACATTAAGGAATAATTTTTAAATAAAGTGAAAGAATTAACTATCTCTAAATGAATTTGTTCCAAAAAATCTCACTTTATTTCTAAAGTAATGACTTTGTGAATCAATTTTTGTTTATTGTATGATATGGTTGTATATTGAGGTTTATATTGAGAAATACTTCCACCAGTCACAAGAGTGACTTGACAGTAACATCCACACCCAAAAGAAAATAAAAAAGTAAGATGAATATGCATCGCATACAGACCGAGAGAGTTGGCTCCCAATCCAAATAATTGGTACCAAAACTATCTCTTTTGAAATAAATAACCTTCGTCCCGTCACTGACTTCCCACGTTCAAGCATTCAAAACAAGATACTCTCTTTTTGAGTGTTCTTGTACGAACCGCCACCGATCAAGAATTCAAGCAGTCCGTTTTTGAAATCTGAGGCGCGCACCCGCGAAATCCGCTTCTCTGCTAAGGCTCCGACGCCGTCGCCTGAAACCCTACTGATTTATAGATTCAGATATAGATATACATATCTATTTGGCCCTTCCTTATATATGTATGTGATTCTTCTCTGGAGAGGGTAAAGATCCTTAAATTGAATGGGCACCAAAGAGAATTGCAGAAACGAGCTCCGTGCTGCCATCTGCCAGCTCAGCGACCGATGCCTCTACTCCGCCAGTAAATGGTACCTTCCCGCGCATAAACCCTAACTGCCCTTTTACGCTAGCTACGGATATACCCAAATTTGCGCGCGAGTGCATACTTCTCTATACAATTCTAAAAATGTGAACTTTTTGGAACAGGGCAGCAGAGCAACTAGTTGGGATCGAGCAAGACCCGACAAAGTACCCCACTTCACACACACGGTTCCAGCGCGGCAGTTCCAGCATTCTTCGCCGCTTCCGCACAGCCGCTGGAGAAGGCGTATTTTCTAGCACCCCTTCTGCTGGCGTGTCCTATGTGGCCACCCCGTCTGTGCTCGATGATGAATATGAGGCGGTTGACAGTGACTTTTACCTGCTTGCCAAGTCTTATTTTGATTGCAGGGAGTACCGGCGGGCTTCACATGTGCTGCGGGATCAGAAAAGCAAGAAAGCCATTTTCTTGCGGTGCTATGCACTTTTCTTGGTTGGTCTTTCTTGGTTTAAGTGAACAGTTTTCAATTTAACGTCTTTCCCGTCTTCAAGCTCTTTATAATTGTAGTTTAATTTTACTCCAGTACATTATTTACACACTCATTCACTTAAAGTTTGTTTGACCTGAATTGTAACTAAGAATACTGGTTTGGTAGTCTAGTAGTGCATAATGCCCCTTGGAAAATACTAAGGAATTAATATATGCCTTTCATGTTTCTTTCTAATTCATTAGTCAATACTATATTTACCTCCTTATAGGACTAGCTAGAATATTTCAATCTGCTATTGGAACATCCAAAGAAAACATAATAGTGGGTAAACTATTGGTATTTTGCAGTTAAGTAATCTAGTATGGCCTAATCAACAAATAGTGGTGCTAACCAGCATATGCAATTTGTTCTAGCATAGATCTAAATCCCTACACAACCAATGTATTGGCAAACATAACATGGTTGAGCAGTTATTCTTCCGTCAATCTGTTTAAAACTAAACATGAGTGATTATTATAAAAACTTAAGTGAAGTGTTCTCTTACATCTAGATTATTGGAATCTGTCATGTTGCGTGCAGAAGTTTCCACCTACAATCTTCAGTAATTGCCAGAAGTGTTATGCCCTGGAACCTGTATATAGCTCTCACATTCTTACTGTTGTCTTCAGAGAACTTTTGAACAGATCTTTTCTTAGGACCTGAAGATGAATGTTGTATTGATGCAAATCTACCATTCATCCCAGACTGTCTTATTGTGGTTGGGCGGATAAAAGGCCACATTTTTGTCCACTATTTTTGTTTGTCATATATCAGTCATTATTCTTATCAAAATTGGCTATATTATGTAATTTAGAATTGATTATTTATACACAATTGGTCACTTAAAGATTATTACTCTACGGCTCTACCCTACTGCTTATTTTCTTCTATACTGTGCTATTATTTCTTCTCTGTTCCATGTCTCTGTTGCTTCTTCCGGAAGTGGCCATCAATTTTCTCTTGTACACTAATAGTTGACACAGAAATTTGATTACTTTAATGAATTTTATAATGGAATGTAATTGTTACAGTGACTTAGTAAGTCACATAACTACATGCGAATTTTCGTGATTTTTCCAATCTCAACTGAAAAAATGAGTGAATCATTTTAAGTAATAAATACTTATGAGGCGTCCTCTTACATTTTCCACAAGGCTTAGGATGGTTCATTCTTCATTGGTGAGGCAAAATAAAAGCGCATCAAAATCCATTTTAGCTTTTGTTTTTTACAGCCTCGGTTGGGTATATAAAAAAGCTGACCTTCCCTGTTTTATACTTAAATAGAGCCAGCATAGAATGTGAATCATGACTAGCGTGGTATCTTTGGTTAATTAATTAATATATATGCGTGTGTATAGTTTGGAAGAGTATTGCTGTCATTTTCTGATTTATGTTTTTACTCCTGGAAGGCTGGTGAGAAGAGAAAAGATGAAGAGATGATAGAACTTGAAGGGCCTTTAGGGAAGAGTGATGCTGTGAATCAAGAACTAGTTTCTCTTGAGAGAGAGCTTTCAGATCTCCGCAAAAATGGAACCATTGATGCCTTTGGTCTTTACTTGTATGGTCTTGTTCTTAAAAACAAAGGCAATGACAATCTTGCCCGTACAGTGCTGGTGGAGTCCGTGACTAGCTATCCCTGGAACTGGAGTGCTTGGACTGAGCTACAATCTCTGTGCACCACGATTGAGGCCTTGAACAGCCTTAACCTTAGTCATCACTGGATGAAAGACTTCTTCCTAGCCAGTGCTTACCAAGAACTTCGAATGCATAATGAGTCCTTGACAAAGTATGAACATCTGCAAGGAACTTTCAGTTTTAGCAATTATATTCAAGCTCAGATAGCTAAAGCTCAGTACAGCCTGAGGCAGTTTGATGAAGTAGAAGTAATATTTGAAGAGCTTCTAAGAAATGATCCATATAGAATTGATGACATGGACATGTATTCCAACGTTCTTTATGCAAAGGAATGCTCTTCAGCTTTGAGCTACCTTGCCCACCGAGTGATTTTGACAGATAAATACAGGCCAGAGTCATGTTGTATTATTGGGAACTACTACAGTTTAAAAGGGCAGCATGAGAAGTCGGTTGTGTACTTTCGGAGGGCACTCAAATTGAATAAAAACTATTTGTCTGCATGGACACTAATGGGTCATGAGTATATAGAAATGAAAAACATACCAGCAGCAGTGGATGCCTACAGAAGGGCCGTGGACATAAATCCGTGTGATTATCGAGCATGGTATGGGTTAGGGCAAGCTTATGAGATGATGGGAATGCCCTTGTACGCTCTTCATTATTTTAAGAAGTCAGTTTTCCTGCAGCCAAATGACTCCCGACTGTGGATTGCCATGGCTGAGTGTTACAAAACGGAACAGCTCAATATGCTTGAGGAGGCAATCAAATGCTATGGTAGGGCTGCAAACTTGAATGACAGAGAAGCTATTGCGCTTGACCAACTGGCGAAATTACATTCTCAGCTTGGTCGTTCTGAGGAGGCAGCATTTTACTACAAGCAACATTTAGACAGAATGGAATCTGAGGAGAGAGATGGACCTAACATGGTTGAAGCTTTACTCTTTCTTGTCAGATATTACAAAGCTCAGAGGAAATTTGAAGAAGCAGAGATCTATTGTACCCGTCTTCTTGATTACAAGGGCCCTGTAAGTTTGCATCTGACATTTTTTCCCATAATTTGTATTTCAATATCTCGTAAGGGTCTGTTTGGATGGAAGATTTTGGACTAGAAGGCTTTGGTGGATTTAGTCTATATCTTGATAAGTAGAATGTTTCTAAAGACAATTGAAAGGTGAATGAGATGTTATTGAGTCACATATTATGTTAATCTTTCCCATTATGATTTTCCATTTTTACTAGTTGGTTAAAGATATTAAACTTTATCTTTTGGGATTAAGGCTTGGATGTCGTCGTTGTTGTTCGTTAAAGATGTTAAACTTTGACCAATAATATATTTTTTCTTTATTATTCCACGTCCCAGTTTTTACGTTATAATGTGAAAGTAATATAAAATCTTTCTATATAAAAAATACTCAAGAAGTATAAACTATTATTTTCATTAAAATAAATTGACAAAAAATGGCCAATGTTAACCCCTTTAACAAAAAAGTAAAAAATGGCAAAACATAATTGGACAGGGGGATTATAGAAACCAAAGTATTTATATAAAAATATAGTCCTCCAAAGCCCCAAATTTGTACATCCAAACGGAGCATAACTGCCTCTTTTGGTCTCATATCCTCCCATGAATGAAGCCTTAATTTGAAAGTGCACAATGCGCTGGTTTGGAATTTGGATAAAAGTCTTTTGGTACTGGCCCTCATAACCATTTGGTGTATGATGCAGGAGAAGGAAGCAGCGAAAAGTCTTCTTCGAGGAATAAGGCATGCAATGGACGTTGAGCATTTTCCACCGTAAGAGTTTCACTTCTGTCTCTAAGTTGCAATCGGAATGCCCCGGGCATGATGGTTCCGGTTTTTGTGTTAAGCACGCCATCATCTCATTTCACGCCTTGGCGAAGTGCAACTCGTTCTTAAGCAATTCCAGAGTAGTTGAAAGGGTGTATGTGAAGTGCTCTTTCCCTGATTTATCTAATTATAAAGTGGAAGGTGAAGGTTTGTTATTAGATTGTCTAGATTAATGTGTGATATAGAATAATCTTTTATAGGATGCTAGATGCTACAGAATGTATGGTTTGCCCTTTTTTGGGCACAAGGGTTCAATTGTCATCCGAGTGTTGTGTTAGTCATCAAATGACTCCTCCGTCTATGATTCTGTTCTCGCCAAGCCCCCATTTTCCCACGCCATCACACTCGAAGGGATAACTTATACTTTGGTGTTATGGCAAGTTGGCAACTCCAATAATCTGATAGTTACAGTCTCCCCTTTTGCTGTTCCACTATTTTTGGGTGGTTTGCCCCTAAATAATCTTGTGCTTTTTTCTAACTAATCTAGTATAGGGATGGAGTGGGCTGGGCCGAACCGGCCCGGAACCGGACCGGCCCGCTACTGTGCGGGCCCAGTTTGGCCCAGGCCCGATTGGCCGGTTCCGGGCTTTTAGCCCGTTTTGGCGGGTCGGGTGGGCCGGGCTCGGGTCCCATTTTTGTTGAACCGACCTGGGCGGTTTGGGCCGGGCTCGGGCTTTTTATTTTGTTTTTTCATTTTTTTTCTTTTCCTAGGGTAGGGCTGGGTGTTTTGGGGAGGTTTGGGGGGTGGGGTGAGGGGGGGGGGGGATAACAAGAAAGCCAAAAAAAATTAAATATTGAACCGGGCCTGGCCCGGCCCGGTTAGGCCTGGACCCGGTATCAACTCGGGCCGGTTCCGGGCCTAAGTACCTGGGAAAAAAGCCCGCCCGGGCCCGGCCCGGAACCGGACCAGCCCGGAACCGAAACCAGACCGGCCTGGGTCCATCCCTAATCTAGTAGTTATAGACTTGTAGTCTCCCCCAAGGTTGTTAAAATCTCGATTTAAATTGTAAAATCGTACGATTTTACTATTCTACATTAATAAATCGATTCAAATCGCAGGTAAAATCATAAAATCGTACAAAAATCGTGTAGAATCGTTTAAAATCGTAATAAGTTTTTTTTAGAGAAAATGGTTCAAATTTATTAAAATTAACTACTACAAATTGATACATAATTACAATAATAATATCAATAGTATATTTTAAAAAGTAACGGATTCCTTTGTTATTTAATTATTTTTATGTTTTACATATGTTTAATGTTATTATTGACTACATTTACATTATTAAAATAGTTTATAGGTCTTGTTTTGGACCTTGTAGGTATAGTTTTATGTAATAAAATGATATAATATCATTAACTTACAGCTTAATATTAATATTTATTTATTTTATAATTATTAAGATATGTTTAACAAAATCTTATGATTTGAGATTCGATTTTACGATTCGATTTTAAAAAATATCTATTGATCCGATTCAAAAATACGATTTTAACAACCTTGGTTTCCCCTTTTGCACGATTCATATTCTTGCTTACCTTTTATAGTACATAGTTTCATTTTCTAGAACTAAACCGCCCAGTAAAACATACGTAGTATATAAATATGTGTGTGCATAAGGCTTAAGGCTTATTACGATTTTTAACAAGACTTGGATGGGACTGGGCCAGCTTCAGGCTTAAGGATTTCAGGCTCGGTACTGGCCCGGGTTTGTACTGGGATCGGATCGGGCCTAAACAGTACTGGGCCAGGCTGGGCTTCAGGACGAGGTTGGGCATTAAATAAAAAAATAGTGCAGTCAGACCTTGACCCGAGCTGGCCCCAAAAAATTGAGCCCAAATCCTGCCCTTATAGCCGCCGGGTCAGACCCTGGGGTGGGACCAGGCCTATACAGTAATGGGTTGGTCTAGGCCTAAACAGTACATGTCCGGGTCGGGCCGACCCGTCCTAGTCCATCCCTAGCATAAGGTACAGAGTAAAATAAAGTGCAAATTACCCGCATAGTCTACTTTTGGGTATGGGATACCATTTATGGCCCACCTCATCTTTCTTTCATTTTTAACTTTTCTCTTTTCATTTTTTGTTTTCTATTTCACTTTTAGATAAGTTTTGCCGACCTCCTACATCTGCTCGTACTTCCGTCTCCCTTCTACAAAATTAACATTTCTTTGAATTAGTATAGTTCCCTAAAGAGGCATGAGATCGATGATCAGGCACTATAACCGGCAAAGCTAGAGACAGAAGTTTTGAGCAAGGCGGACGGGTGTACAAACGGCGGCCACCTGAAAAATGGCAACTGCAGGATTTTACCGGCGTATTTTCCCTTCACCACCGGCTATTGATTTCGCTTCTATCGAAGGAAAGGTCTCATGTTTCTAACTATTTCGAATTCCTCTTAGTTTATTGAAGGCTAAGGTTTCTTGATTCTACAATGACACTTGTATTTTGCAATAGCAAATAGGATTAACAACGTAGCGTTATTTCCCGTAGAAATAAATTATGATCTATGAACAACATTTTGAGGTCTTGATGATTTAGCATGGATCTAAAAGTTTAGTTCGCTAGATTCCACCTCAAGAGTGAATTTGGATATTCGATTGTTTCAGTTGGAATTATTGCTGTGGAGGATGAAGTCTGCTACGTAGAAGTATATCTCTATTTTTGGATTTGTCAATTGGTGTGTAGAGGGTCATCATCTTGTAAGGTTTTGGCTAGTGATGCAATTCTCTACAAAGCACAATTTTGGCTGTTGGTACTTCAAGCACCCACCATAGTATTAGATCATCAGTCTCACTTGCAAAGTACTGTGCCAGGAAGGTTGGGAAGAGCATCTCAGTTATTGCTTTCAATAATGGTAAGGTTGTCTTTCACAGAATAGCAACTACTTCTATTGGCTAAAAGTAAGACCTTGACTAAAAGTCCTTTGAGTTTCACTCCTAAGGCAGATTCAGAGGAAATTTCTTTCACACAGCTACCATTGTCAAATAGTGGCAAAGGGTGTACTTCTCTAGCCTTGGTACCTTATAATTCAATGGATGTGCGAGACTCAAATTCAGGATCAGCATTGCTCAGAAAAGTATTTCATCAGAACACAAAATATGGCTGAGTTATTCTTCACTTGAAAGATTGGTATCTTACCGGAATGAACTGCCATCAACCGGCACAGAGAAGGAAAAACAATGTTATTGAATCAAAATCCAGCTTTGGTGAGACACACCAACACTGATGTGAGTAAGGGCGATATATAGAAGAAGAAATGATAAGAAGCAAAGCCAAATAATGTCACAAATAAATGTGTTATATTGGAGCAATAGATTAAATTTTATATTCGCTGTAATGCATTTTTTATTTTATTTTTGTTGCTTTTTGTTGCATCACATATATTATATTTTGTTGCATCGTGTTTCATTTTGTTGTATCGTGTTACTTTTTGTTTCACCATGTTGCTAATTATTTATTGTTTTTAGTTTATTTAGATTTCTACTTACCTTTGCTACTTTCTTAAAACAAAATATCTATATAGATTTATATACATAAATCTAAAATGATAGGTTTGGTTTTATAAATATAAACAACAACTAGAAACATAAAGAAACAATAAAAAAACAACAATTTCAAAGTTGTCAACAAAAAGAAGCACAAAACACAATAGGAAACAAAAACTAACAATAAAATGATAATATTAATGTCAACAATTAGGTGCTTCAAGAGAGAATACATTATAAAATTCGTGTTTATTTTTAGATTTTTTTAATTTTTTAAAGTTTGCATTTATAAATATAAACAACTAGAAACATAAATAAACAATAAAATAAAAAATTTCAAAAATTGTCAACAAAAAGAAACACAAAAAACAATAGGAAACAAAAACTAATAATAAAATGATAATAATAATTAAAACAATTAGGTGCTTCAAGAAAAAATACATTACAAAATTCATGTTTATTTTTAAATATTTTGATTTTTTTAAGGTTCAATATTTTAATATTTCATATTTTTATTCACTGAGTTTATTTTAATTTTACTATTCTTTATCATATAAAATTTAATTTTTAATTTTTTTTTTAAATTTTAAATATTTATTCGGTTTTTTATTTTTAATATTCATATTTTCCGATTTGTTCAAAAAAATACTTTTGTACATAAGTTTCGAATTAGTTTTCATACTATTTAACAGTTTCAATACATTTTTATCTTATTTTAAATGTAACATTTTATATTATTTTAAATGTTTCTTTTATCACTAAAATTTCTTTTAAATATTTTTTCCACTATTTTTAAGTATTTTTTGAATTAAACGTTCACTTTTTTTATATTATATTAATTAAATTAACCATTTTATACATTTTTGTAAGCTTCCCATTTATTTAAGTATTTAGCTATTTTAAATTTTTATATGTTTGTTTCCAGTTTTTTAAAGTTTTCTTCTGCATACTTTTGTTCTCTTTAAAATATAAATTCAATTTTGTTAAATTTAATTTATTATTTTCCATTTTTTTGAATTTTTTGAATTTTTCCTTTGGGTTCTTCATTTTTAAATTTTAATTTCATCTTAAGAATACTAAAAATAAAATTTATGAATCAAATTTATAGTTTTTTTCTACTTTTTCACAATATTTTACACTTTTATTTTTACTATTTAAAATATAATTTAGATATTCTGGGAACAGGTTTGCTCAAAATTTAGATTTTTTTTAACATTTTGTAGTATGTTTACATTAGTAAGATTTATTATTATGATTTTATATTGAGTGCATCATGCCTAAGGCGTAGATAAGTATCAAGCACAAACAAGTAACCGTACAAAGTTAAAATTTTAATGGTACGGTGTTCTTTTAAAAAGAAAAATGTTACCGTATTAACTGTTATGCGTAATCCTTAGATTCTATCATACGGCTGGTTTTGAAAACAAATTCCTAGTTAGTGTAATTTTGAAAAAAAAAATTGAAGAGGGATAAAAGTGATATTATTTTTAGTTTTGAGTCTACTTGTGAAGTTTTCCCTAAAACAAAACCATGAGTAAAAGTAGGAGTGGACTCGGGTCGGGCCAACCGGCTTGGAACCGGACCGGACCGCTACTGTTCGGGCCCGGACCGGCCCGGTGAACCGGTTCGGGCCACCCGGCCCGGTGGGATGGGGATTCGGGCTCGGGCCCTTCAAAAGGTGAACCGACCCGGCCGGGCCAATTTATTATTATTGTTTTTGATATTTTTTTAAGTTTTATGGTTGGGCTGGGTATTTTGGGCCATTTGAGGTGGTTAGGGTTGGTTTGGGGGTAAGGGGGAGGGTTGGGGGTTAACTAGGAAAAGCCAAAAAAAAAAAAACCGAGACCCGGCCCGACCCGGACCCGGGGGTTACCCGGGCCGGTTCCGGGCCTCCCCTTCATGAACCGAGGCCCGGCCGGGTCCAGGCCCGAACCGGAACCGGTCCATCCCTAAGTAAAAGCCTAAA